GGCCAACTGACTGAAAGAGATCCATATTTGTGCTCTAACACAATGCAGAAATCACTGAACATCATTATTATGACCCATAATTAAAGTATTACTTGAAACTTTTAGTTGAAAATAATTTAAAAAGTGTTATAGAAGTATATCAGCATAAAACTGTCAATGTTTCAAGCTAGATTCAGAAAAAGACTTGGAATGAGCAATATCATTCCTGATGTCAGTGGGATCTTGGCTAAAAGCAGAAAACACCAGAAAGATTTTTATCTGTGTGCTATTGAATCTGCAAAGGCATGTGACTGTATGGATCATTACAAATTATGGATAACATACCCAAGAAAGGGTTTTGTTCATGCAGAACCTACACACAAAGAGGCAGTCATTCAGAAAGAACCAGGGGATGTCGCCTGGTTTAAAATCAGAAAAGGTGCGTCACAGTTGGATTCTTTAATTGCACTTATTCAATCTGTATGCTGAGCAAACAATGCAAGAAGATGAATAGTATAAAGGGGAATGAAGCATCATTAACAATCTTTAATATACAAAAGATACAACTTGCTTGCTTAAAGTGAACATGATACACTCACTGATTAAAAAAATCAGTGACTATAGCCTTCAGAATAAATTACAATTCAAGAATGAAACAAAAATGTCAACTGTTGGACCAACAAGCAACATCAGAATAGATGGAAACAAGATTGACGTTGTCAAAAATGCCATTTCACTTGTTTCCCAATCAAGGTCCATGGGAGCAGCAGTCAGGAAATTAAATGAGATCTTGACTTGGGCAAAAGTGATGCAAAAGAGCTCTCCAAAGTATGAAAGAGCAAAGGTGGCCCACTGCATCACTTCCTAAACAACATGCCTCTGGAAACTCTATGAACTTAGATAAATGTCGCTAGTTGCAGAGGGGTTTCAGGCCTTTTGTTCACAGGGTCGCTCTGAGTTTTGCTCGACTCGAAGACAACCAACAACAACAACAAATGTATGTGAAAGCAAGACAGCAAATAGGAAAAATCAAAGAATTGACGCCTTCATATTATAGGGCTGACAAATAGACTGCCAGAACAACAAACAAATCTGTCTTGGATGAAGTATTGTGGAATTTTCCTTGAAGTGAGAATGTTAAGACTTTATCTCCTGTATGTTGGACATGTTACCAGGAAGAACCAGCCTCTGGAGAAATACATTGTGCTTACTAAAGAATACATTGTGTTTTACTAAATATATTGTGCAATGAAATAACAGCAGCCCTCAAGAATGGATAAAATGTTTGCATTTGGCTCAAACATGACAGTGATTGTGGGGATGATTCAGAAATGGGCAGGGTCTATTTCTGTTGTAACAGGATAGCTATGACTTGACAGCACTCAGCAAAACAGATACCTTGATGCTGCAACAATTAGATGAAATACATGGTTAATGAAGACTGAGCCCAGATTAGCCCTAGGAGAGACTGAGATGTAGGTAGTAGACTCTCCAGGGCCAGTGGGCTCTGAACCAAAGTGTCGCAGGCAATGCCCTGGGGTCTGAATGCTGGGTTCCAGAGAATTGTCTGAGAAGCAATCTCATTCACCGCGTACTGGAGATGATCACCACCTGAGGGTTAGCCATCATTTTTCGGTCATCCATGTTTCTGCTGCGGTTTTAGAATAAAGCTTTTCTATTTTTAACTTTTAAAATCAGTTGTTTTACTCTACAACTGCACAGAATGTTTGAAGATGCAGTGTTAACCTCACACTTTTCTGCCTCCTTCCTCTATTCACACATTGTTCATTCCACTGGAATTTCTTTCTACATGTGCATCCAAGACAGAAACTGGGCAATCAGGGGCAGGGCGGGGAATGGGGTGGAAGACACATACATGCATAAATAATTTTAGCAAAATACCAGCTTCAAAATTAACACCAAGTATTCTCAGCAAATACAGGCAAAGCTTAGGTAGCCCTGTCTTTCTAAGCAGATTTTAAAGGAAACAACTTTTCTACACAGGGATCATTTAACCAGACTTATTAAGCCTTTAAAAATCAATAAATATTGACATACCGTTTTAATCTTCACTTTCCCAACAGAGGCAAAAATATCTCCCTATAAGCTTGAGGTTCATTGCTGGCACCTGACAAAAGGACTTTCAGTCCTGGGATAGGACTGTCTTTAATCTGTAGAGTGTGACCTTGAACAAGTCTCCTTCAGCATCAGCTTCTACCTAGTAAATAGGAATCAGGCTCCCAGAAGTTCTCAAACTTGACGTCATTGTTATTCATAGACGCTTATCTAACTCTTACCATGTGTAGAGTACTTACTGTAGGCCTAAGTGCAATCTCATTTTACAGATGTACGAGTGAGGCTAAGTGAGGCTCATCCCCTCATGTACATTCACTGCCTTGCCAACATCGGATTGGAATCAGGTCTAAATGGGGCCCTGGAATCCACATCTCTATGAGCTTCCCACTGGAGACCCAAGTGCTAGCCAACTGGTTTTAGGTCCCCACTACATACTGAATTACATGTTGAACTGTTAACCAAAAGGTCGATTGTTTGAATTCACCCACTAATCCAAAAGAGAAAGATGAGGCAGTTTGCTTTCACTGCAATTCACAACCTCAGCAACCCACAGGAGGCTTGTAAAGTGAATCCGAATCAACTCAATGGCAGTGGTTTGATTTGGGGGTTGAAACACTGTTCTAGGCAAAAGAAGACCTGCTCTGATTTGAGAGCACAAAGGAAGCAAACGGGAAAATCCAAAGCCCCACCAGGGTAGTCCTCAGGAGAAAGTCTGGTACACTTCTAAGGACTAAGGAGTAAAGGGAGGCGGAGATGAGGACCAGTCAGAAAGAACCCAGACTACTTGAAACCCAGAAGGTGCTTCTTGCTGCACTAGGCTGCCACCTGCTGGTTATTGGTAGCTACCGCAGAACAAAGAAGCCAGCTGTTAGGTACAGTTAAGTCCAGTACAAACTTTCATCAATCCTATTCATAGATCTGAACCCTGTCGAGGTCTGTGCCAACCTCACAATCTCAGACACATTCGAATCTATTGCTGCAGTCACTCCATCAATCCACCTGGTGGAGGATCTTCCTCTCCTTCACTATCCCTCCACCTTTCCAAGCATGATATCCTTCTGCAAGAAGAAGTTTCACCATCCTTGCCTCCAAGAGCACTCTGGCTGCACTTTCCCCAAAGCATCTATTTGTTCTTTTGGCCATCCATGGGATATTCAATACTCATCTCCACCACCACCACTGTTTAAAGCATCAACTCCTGACATCCTTATTCATTGTTCAGCTCTCAACAGCATAGCATGTAATTTAAAATACCACTCCAAAACCCTAAACCCATTACCGTGGAGCAGATTTCAACTTATAGTAGTAATCCACCATTGGGTTTCCACAGTTATACTATTTTGGTGCGTGTGTGTAACTACCCCCCAAAGTTATACATTTTAATGAATTTCTGAGGTAGTACATTTTAATGAGAACAAAACGGTTTCTAAGGCTAAAAATCTTTACAGAAGCAGACTGCCCCATTTTCCTTCCATGGAGCAACTGGTAGGTTCAAACTGTTAGCTAACTGTTTTGTATGTTTGTTTGGTTAGAAGTTCCTTAAGCACAGTGCCACCAGTGGTTAACTGGTACACCATGCAGAGGTTTCTGTGGACATTAGGGCACACTCCTGCCTCACAGAGTTCAGTGCAGTGAGGCAGACCAGCAATGACAAGGCATCATGGCAGGTAGGGACAAAGGTCAGTCTGGATGAGAAAGTATAGTGTCAGGGATCAGTTGGGAGAAATGAGCTGGAGAAGCAAATGAGATTAGGTGGGTATTAAACTCTGGAATATCCAACAACCAGCTTCAAATTCCATGCCGGCCTAGCCTGGCACATTTAAAATATCCCATTTCTATGATTTCAGGAAGATGGCTTTCCAAGCAGCCATTCATTGCCTGACTGGTCCCTGGAAGCACTAAGAGCACTTTTAGACCTCAAGAAGCTGTATCCAGGTGTCTCCCTCCATCCTCCATGCCCTAATGTCCCATCAAAAGAAAGAAAATGGTCACTTTTAGTCTCATCAAACCAGCAGGAAAAATGGGAATGGGCTGTCAAATACTGCAAAACAAACATCAGAGACCAAGGGCTGTGAGCACCATATCATTTTATTGTTTTGGTTTTCCAGGTTCACTCTTGAATAATGCAAGGTCAGTCTCCCACCTGCCTGGCCATTAGGCAGTATCTTCTCTAAAGACAGGACAACTGCTGGGGAGAGGTTAGCAGGAAAGCAAAGTCCACACCTGCCAGCAAGGCTCCTTCCTGAGGACTGCATGTGGGGGTCCACAGTTGATGGCTCAGGCACCAGTAAGCCCGGATCCTAAGTCCTCTATTCCCAAACAGGATGGCTCCACCTGTTGGCCATCCCCCAGAACACATCCCCACCAAGGCAGGCGGGCTGGCTAGCCCCTGAGGCCGCTGCCCAGAAACAGAGGTCATCTTGGTTCTGTGCACACATTCTCGTCTCTGCTTAGACTGAGCAGCAGAGCCACTAATCCACTTCTATTGGGAAATGTCTTTGAATAAAGAGGATGCCAACCCCTTAAAAGGAAATGAAGACATACATTTCTTCCCAACTGGACAAAGAGCCACAGTAGGGCCATCTATCACCCCTATGAAAAACAGAAAGAGCTTCAGATAACCAATTCTTCTTCCCCCGGAAACATACATATGGAGCTGCCAACACCTCTAGCCAGGTGTGCCAGCTATCCCACTGAAAATAAAGAGAAAACAAAAATCTAAAAATGAAAATGGTTTCAAATTTAAATGAACCAACTAAACAACACTCCTGGCCTAGCAACCCTCTGCAAGAGACCTTGGGACAGTCTTCGGGCTTTCTCTTTCCTAAAGCCAGGAAACAGACAAACACACACTCTCTCTTTCTGGATTCAAGGTCAGTGCTGTGGGACCTCAACTGCTCCTCCCTTCCTCTCAACCCGCAGAAAGCCCCCTCTGATCCTCTCTGTCAGCCATCGACCAGGGTGAGGCCATCATAGAGTGCCCGCTTCCACATGTAATACGTGGAGCGAGCAGTGAGGGGAAAGAGTGTGCTGAACTCCTTGTATGAAGGGAAGCTCTTAGACTGGAAGCGCTTTTGTAAAAACAGCTTGGCCTGGGCCTTGAACTTGGTGGTGGTGATCATATCCATCACCAGCACTGGGTCATCCCTGTCATCCACAGCCGTCACAGGGTAGTGTGATGGGGACCCACCATGGGCGGTGACCTCTTCTCCTAGGGCCTCCTCTCTGGAAGGCTCTCCCATCCTCTCTGTTGAAGGCTCCTCCTGTAGCTCTCCCTTGGGTGAGGTCGCCTTGTCTGTCACACTGCTGCCAGCTTCCTTCTCTGGCCTCCCTTGGGCCTCTAATGCCCTTCGTTTGCTCAAGGCAGGGACCTCCCTCTGGAGTTTGGACAGGCTTCTGGGCCAGCGCTGGGCAAGACTCTTCCAGGCCCAGAAGGTGGACGGTGACAGGCTAGGGTAGCGGAGACGGAAGCGGCAGAAAGGAAGGTGCCCACTTAGCACCTGCTTGCGGGCGGCCCTGCGCAGCCGTCTCTGCCAGCGAGGCAAGGGCATTTTCAAGGGTAGGGGCTCCCGGGGCGCCAGAGCCCCCTCGTTGGTGCTTCTCCCTAGCCCTTCTCCCTCCTCGCTCTTACAGGAGGATGGAGACACTACTTCTGCAGGGACTGTTTGGGGATCCTCTGCTACCGAGACAGACGATGCCTGCTTAAAGTTGGGGTTCCTCCGGAGGGCCTTTCGACGCCAGTTGTAGTAGGTGGACCGGGAGATGCCAGGGAACCTGCGCTTGAAGCAGCGATAGGGAATCAGAACGTTGAGGGAGATGCAGTGCTCCAGGTACAGCTTGGCCCGTTGCATCACAAACACTCCAGGGCTTGGGAGCGGGCACTCCAGCCCGTTGGCACCCTGCTCCCCCAGCTGCTCCTCCGGCTGCTTCATGGCCAGCGTCTGCCTGGGCGCCAGGGCCTGAACGAAGGCGGAGCCCAGCAGCTCGTTCTTCCAGGCGTAGTAGGTGGATCGGGAGATCTCGGGGAAGCGCTGCTGGAACTGCTGCAGCGGCACCACGCCCCCGCGGTGGAAGCTGTCTTGCAGAAAGTGCTTGGCCGAGAAGCGGGTGGCCACCTTCTGCCGGTGCTCCTGGGACTGGCGCCGCCAGCGGTAGAAGGTGCTCTTGGTGACATAGCGCTCGCAGAGGTGCGAGTAGCTGAGGCCAGGCTCGCGGTTGAGCAGCTCCAGGGTCTTGGCTGGAGGAGGCAGGGCGGGCAGAGCTGCAGGGCCCGGGCCCAGACTGGCCACACTCTCCACCTCCACTTCCTCCAGACCCACCACCGGGGCAAAGTACTGGTGGCGGAAGAGGTGGCTGCTGAGCGGCTGGCCTGCCCACATGATGTGCAGCGTGGAGGGCGTGTGGTCACAGCGGCGAGGCCTGATGACCCGGTTAAAGTAAGGCCGGATCTTAAGGTTGCGCATGGGATAGATGGAGTAAACGTTGCGCTCCAGCACTGAGGCGAGCGCGTACAAGTGCCACACGTTAGAGAAGCTGCTGGGGAAGCAGGTGGCCTTGACGTCCGCGTCGAAGATGGCCTCCAGCGTGGTGGAGGGCAGGCTGGTCATCTCGGGGGACTCCTCGGAGCACAGGGAGTAGCGCACGGCCTGCAGCATCACTTTGGAGTCAATCATGCCCTGGAGGTAGTAGTGGCGATGCAGCAGCATCTCCACCACGGTGCGCGCACGCAGCTCCAGGCTGAGGCCCGTGTTGCCCCACAGCAGCATGCTGGCCGCCTCGAACAGCAGGCTGCCCTCGCCCTTGCACACCAAGGGCAGCATGTTCCGCGGAGCATCCTCTGGGTACAGGCTCATGGCCACTGGGTCCACCTGCAGCACCTGCGGGCTGGGACACCCTTCCCGGCATTGGGGAAGGGCAAAGGAAGACAAGACCTGCTTGGCTTCGATGGCGGTTCCCACAAGCCCCTCCAGGCCTTCGGACTCCACTGCCTCCTGCAGTTCCTGCAACACCTGCTGTACCAGCTGGTCCCGGGAAGTCATCCTGCGCGGGCAAAGGACAGAAGTCAGAGGGCAGAGCAAAGCTACCTAGACGATACTGAGTGATAGTCCTGTTAACTTCAGCACCTTCTCTCTGAAGTCGATTTCTATCCTCTCCGGTTTCTAATGTTGCCCCTTGGGTGTGTTTAATCACACTATCACTGATAAAGGTTTGGCCTCTGGAGCCTAGCTTTGAATCCTGGCTCTGATATTAACTTGGTCACCTTGGGCAAGCTTCTGTAAGATGGGGGTCATAATACAACTAATAAAAGTATCTACTTTATAGGGTTGACTAATGAAAAAGAAAGAAAGGAGATGCTTTAAAACAGCACTGTTGACAGAACATTAAATACGCCAGACTGCCCAAAGAATAGACCAATCTTGGAAGAAATAAAACCACAATGTTCCCTAGAAGTGAGGGGGGGGGGTCATCATCTGAAAAAAAGGAGGGAGGTTGGAATTGTTAGAAAAAAAATAGTATGTTTGGCAAAGCATATGGCCAAGAAAAATTAAGGAAATTATCATAAAATGGGTTTATTCTACTAATGATCATGAAAACAGAACCAGATCCAGCAGTGTGCTGTTCTAGTACACAGAAGATTACCATGTGTAGCCAACTCAAAGGTAACTAATAACATTTTGTACAGTTGTAGTACACACCAGAGGTGAGAATAAGCGAGGGAAATTGAGATAAATCACCATCCTTGAAAACCGTGCAGCGTGAAGTATTACAGAAATATTAGTTATCTATTAGACTTAGATTCAAATTAGGTTCAAATTGTTTTCCTGTCAAACATTCTTCTAGGTGGTATAGCACTGGTCTGTGCATTGCTGTACAGAGGTAACTCGTGGTTGCTGTGATGCCGAAGATTGTGACAGTGATGTGCCAGTCATGGTGATGGGTACCCACAGTGCACAGTGTTGGCTGGAGCTTCCCGACTAAAACAAGCCTGGAAGCAGGAGTGGCATCCACTTCCGAAATGGCTTGCCTCCGGAAACTCTATATACAAACAGTGCTCAGGTTGTTCGTTCATAGGGTCGCTATGAGTCATCTACAACTCGACAGCACCAAACAACAACAACAACATTAGACTTAGTACTATTCTAGTGGCCTAGTGGTAAAAACTGTGCTGCAATCCCAAAGGCACAGTTTTAATCCACCAAGTGCTCCGTGGGAGATGGATAAACAATCTCCTCCTGTGATTTCTCTGAAAACCTGCTAGAGGGTCAGCTATGAGTCAGTTCTGACTCAATGGTACACAACAACAACTATATATCTTTATGGTGGTGGTGATTGCCATCGAGTCGACTAAGACTCATAGCGACATTATGAACAAAATACCTGAAGCCTTTCTAGAATTATTGTCATTTCTCAAAGTTCATAGAGTTTCCAGAGGCATGTTGCTTAGAAAGTGGATGCCACTCCTGCTTCCAATCTTATATAGTAGAACTCATGCTATACTCTTGTACTTTTTAAAAGGATTATAAAAATATTTAGACATAATTGTTCTGCCTTTCCCTAGAATAGTAATTTTCAAAGCATGCTCCACAGATCCCTAGGGTTTTCTGAAACTTTGAGGGAATCTGCAAATGGAACTATTTTTAAAGTAATACAGCAGATATTGTGAGACTGGCACAGGACTGAGCAGGGTCCATTCCAATCACAGTGCTGAAGCAGTGACACTTAACAACAAGATATATATAACAACAAAATAAAGGGACCTCGTCTAGAGCTGTGCTGCCAACCCAAAGGCGCATGGTTTGAAACCACCAGCTGCTCTGAGGGACAAAATAGGCAATCTCCCCCTGTGCTATTTACTGTTTATTATTTACTATTTAGATTCAACTTCACAGCACATTAACAAGAAGTAGTTATGTGGAGCTTTGATGACTAAGTGGTAGGGAGTTGCGCTGCCAAACTAAAGGCACACAGTTCAAATCCACCAAACACTGCACAGGAGAAAGATGCATAGTTTCCTCCTCTGATTTACAGCCTCTGAAAACCCACTGCAGGGTTGGTTCCAACTGGAGGGTACATAACAAAGAAGATTTTTGCTTTTTCCCTAGTATTGACATCTAGTAAAAACTATGTTTTAGTAAAACTATGTTTTGCCACAGCAAAGGGATCAAGTGCATCCGATGTGGACAGCGGTGAGGATGGTGTGGGCTAGGACGGGGTTCAGATCTGTTTTCATAGGATCGTTATGAGTCATACTCAATGGCACATAATAATGACAACTATAATACTTCAGCACGAATCAGGGCAACAGCATCATTAGAAGCACCATATTAGAAGTAATCATATACTCAGTTTTTTACTAAAAATTAATCTCACTAAGAATGACCATGATGCAGGGAAAATTATTAAATTTCCATATAATCAGTATTAAGAATGATAAAATGCAGAATATTCACAAAGCACTTCTCTGTATACTGAAGTTGCTGTGTCATGAAATTGTTTGAGATGAATGATGAACTTGATGCCATTTTTAAAACCTTACTGGGGGTAAAAAAAACCTTACTAATTTTTACTTGAAAGACTGACACTGTTCATTTGGATTTGGATAGGTTTGGTAGACATATTCTCAAAACAAAAATTGGTGAGTCTGTCACAGCAGAGAAAATCCCTGGCAATATTTACTAACCAAGGTAAATCTTGAGGTTTCTTTTGAGAATTACAATTTTGGAAAACCTGTATCTACCACAGAAATCTGACAGTTTCCCAATATTTTTCATTTTTAAAAAAACCCATCAAAAACAAACCCAAACATGTCACTTACTTTACCATATGTTTCTTATAACAAGATTATTATTTTAAACTGACATCTCCACTTTCAGTTTTAATTTCAAATATAGAAGAACAAAAACCTCTCTGGATCTTCAAATTTTTTATGCTTCAAAAGTGTACAAAATCCCCAAGACTAAAAAAGTTTACTGCCCTACAACAATAGAGGAACTCTGGTGGACTGGTGGTAAAAAGTTGTGCTGTCAACCCCCAAAGGCAGGGAGTTTTGACCCACCAGCTGGCAGTCTCCTCCTGTGTGACTGTTTGTTGTTGTAATGTACCATCAAGTCAGAGCCAACTCATGCCTGACCCTCTGGTGGGTTTACAGAGGTAGTAAATTGCAGGAGAGATTACTCATCTTTCTCCCACAGAGCATCTGGTGGATTCAAAGTGCTTACCTTTAAGTTGGCAGCACAGTTCCTTACTACTGAGCCAGCAGAGCTCCCTCCTGTGTGGTTTACAGCCTTTGAAAGCCCACTGGAGCCATGGATCCAACAAAATAGAACAGCCCTAAAACAAAGACAGTTGCCAGCCCCCTGTCCCAAAGAGCAGCCAGCAGACCTAGCCACTATACAGACATTAATCTAACAGTTAAATATTTGCTATTTTCCCATGAACTTTCCTAAGAGTTTTACTGTTAATCTATCTGGTCTACCTAAAGTAAGTACTAGCATCTCCAATTTACAGGTGGGGAAATTGAGGCAATCAAGGCTGAGCTAATTTGCTCAAAGTCACCCAAGTAAGTGGTACAGCCTGCAGAAGCAGAAGCCCTTCCCAGTTGGTGATCCACCTCCTCTTTAACACAAATTAAACAGTAATCATTCGGACATTTTCCGTGTTGAATTGCAAAGCAGAGTAGTACTCCTTTATGGACACTTTTGAATGAGAAAGGAGACCACTAGACTGCTGTCTTTTTTCCCCCTCTTTTAACCCTCCCCACCACTCTCCTTGTCATCCACAGAAACGTGGTCATCTTTGTTCTCTAGAACAGCTTTCACTGTTGCCGTTGTGTACCAGCTCAGCTGACCCTCAAGCCGGTTTTCAGAGCTGCTCAGTCAGATGAGAGATCGTCGCTTTCCTGCAGGGCAGCTGGTGGAGTTGAACCGCGTGCCTTTGTGATTGCAGTGCAACGTCTTCACACTAGGCCACTGGAGCTCCCTCCTATAGCATTAACTTTGAAAAATGTGCATTTTAGCATATGCATTTGTGAACTCATCCAACTCTACAATCACGAGAGGTTTATTTATTGCTTATACACAATATTTCAGCAAAGTTAAGAATATTTCCAAGAGCACTGAAAGAATACCAGCCAGAATTTTACTTGAAAAATCATGGGTGGGGAGAGCTATTTTGAAATGAGAAATTGAAGTCACCTTTAGATGAACTTTCTAGGTCATAAATATTTTTCCAAATGTTCGTATTGTGACAAATCTGGCCTAAATCTTACTAATATCCCCATTTGTACCGCTATGTTATTTGTTATTTTGAATTAAGTTTTCAGTATATTAATTTTTTGTACACCTTCTATTTCCTAAACAATTTTGTTTCTTCCAAAAACTCAACTTATTTCCTTTGGACTCAAGAAGCAAACTTCCTCCCAGTCCTTACATAAAGCAAGCACTTCATCCACTTCCTAAACAATATGCCTCTGAAAACTCTATGAACTTTAAGGAACGATAGTTACAGAAAGGCTTCAGGTCTTTTGTTCATAGTGTCGCTGTGAATCATACTCGACTCCACAGCAATCAACAAAAACCAATTACATAATAATAGCTAAACCCTGAAGACTAAACTATACGCACTAAAGCGCACTTTCATTACCACAATCATTCCAACAGATAACTCTGGATCTTTTTATTTCTTGCACAGTATCATTGGCTGAAAACTGTCGCACAGCTGCATATAAATGAGTGTTCTTTTTGCTACTTTCCAAACAAAATTATGAAAATAACTCTTCACTTACTGTGTGCATTTAACTTAGTGAAGTTCATCAAAATCTCAGAAAACTAAGAAGGAAAAATTTAAACTGTGTGAGTGGTTCTTCCTGCTAACATCCCGACTAACAGCATAAAATTTCCTCCCATTAAGCCACACATTTGCAAGTTTTCCTGGGCTTCTCATAGGGTGACGCTTTCTTCCAGGACGGTATTTATATATGGTTCTCACCTGCACTCCACAGAACTCCCACACATCACACATACCCCTCAAGGCCAGGATC